ATTAAAATATAATGGGTGATTATATAATTAATATTCAAGAGATCAATAATGATTAAAGGAACAACTCACAACATGCAAATCATAAGTTTCAATATAGCAAATTAAAACCAAGAACAAAAGGCTACTTAAGTTTCAAGGATAAACTCTAGGTGTTGATAGAAGGATCGGAGTTAATGAATATCTCAAATGGGAATGAGAATGGTGTTTTTATAGGACAAGAGAGGTACGTGACTGGGTCGGATACTCAATCGGGTATCTTGGGTCGGATACTCAATCGGGTATCTTTGATAAGTACTACAAAAGTGTTGAAATCAAGTCATCTCTGGCCATGACCTTACACAACCTCCGCGAAGACTCATGTTTTTATCATGCGTTAAAATTTTCTTGTATGACCTGATTTGTGCAAGTTTTGTCAAATTTAGTATAATCCATTACCATTATTATCTGATTGGTACCATTGTATGCACTTGTAATTTACATCTACTCAGACTGAAGTACGTATAGCTTACCCAACCTCCGACAAATATTGATATTTTCACTTTAAATGATCTTTTTTAAATATGGTCTAATTTTTTGAAATCTAATTATGTTTGGTAAATGTTTGGTAAATATTTTATTACAGTATAGTTTATATTTCTAATCTAAGACTACGTGTATGATTAAATTTAGTTTAGTATAATCTAACTTATTTAAGATTTGATATTACCTTCGTCTTCTTCAAAGTTTCTCATGACAAAATAACGCGATTATTTAGACAATAACTACATATCAACATATGCTAATTCGTGTTGTAACACCGTCCCCAAATATATTTACTTTTATGTAAATAATGTATCGAACCTTATTAAAGGATTAATGAATTAACGAAGTTGTAAATTTTTATTATTTCTTTCGCGCGAATAGTAAATTTGCACGTGGGACCCACACCGGGAGCGGGGGCCGCCCGATACTCCCGAGACCACATATTTTATTCATCTTGGTCAAGATAATATTTATATAGTGGTGGATATTTTATTTGGGTCGTGGAAAGGCGCAGAGTTGACCGATTGGGAAAAAGAGGCCCAATTACCGGTACCGACAATTTAACAGATAACAGCCCGGAAATGAATTTTGGAGGCTTATAAATTAAAGTTGGGGAATGTATATTCATTATACATGTCATAATGAGTAAGAGCACATAATATATTTTATTTGACACGATAAAATAAAATATATTTAAAACAGTCCGAAAAATACAACTTTCGGGACAAATTGTACAATCCGGGACGAAAAGGGTTGACCTCCCACATGAGTGGGGGCCAACCCACGATTTTTGCCACTCAAATTGAGGGCTTGGTCGGCTGTTTGAGGAGAAGAACATGGGAGGGAGAGGTTGATGTGATCATTTAAGCATCAAACAAAAATGAGGTGGCCCCCATCCACACTCATTTGTTCAATGAGACGAAGGGGTAAGCCTCACCCCTCTCTCCCCCCATTTTCGGCCAAGCTGCAGCAAGAAGAGAAAGAAAACTCTTCTTCTTCCTTCCACCATTGTTGAAGAGAGCACATGAAGGAAGAATCACCCAAGAAGAAGCTAAAGTGCTAAAAGGTGTGAAATAATTAAGGTAATGACCTTATCATAACTTCCTCTCTATTTTTTCTTCTACCATATGAGATATATATCATGTGAAGAATCCTTAAGAGGGTTCTACATGTTATAAGTATGGATTAATGGATTGGAAAGTGATTCTATGTCCAAGAACGGACTTAGGAGCCAAAACGACCGGTTCACCGGAAAATAACCTTTTATAGGTTATTTGTATTAATTAAGGTTTTATGGTGTTAAAACCTTGTTAGGCACTTGTAAAGGGTATTTCAAGTGATTTCACAAAGTTGGAAAAGTCGCCGGAGTTGTCGCCGGAGTTGACCAAAAGTCGCCGGAGTTTCACCGGAGTTCAACCAAGAAGGGTAGAACTTCATACGCTAGTTCAAGGTGAGTGGACGACTTAATATCTTATAACTTTTGGGTTAATTATGAGATTACCTAAATAAATGTTATATGATTTCATAATGATGTTTAAAAGATATTTAAACATGTGATTAGCCAATAGGGTTAAGTTTGTATGAAGAAATTAATTGTTGATGCATGGAATATGATATGAAGAATTATATGAAATGCATATTTGGTTGAAGTGTATTAGAAGCACAAATGAATATTATTAACTTAATTATATGATGATTAAGTTGATACACACAAGGCTTGAAATGGCGGTCAACGAAAACGTGGACCGAAGAACAAAGGATTTAATTAATACTGGTTGGTATTAATTAATTATAAACCTATATAAATGCATGGCTTTGCATGGATTGTGATACATAAGATTTATGTATTGGATTAGTTATGAGTAACTAAGGATGATATAGACTCTATCTAGGTTGATAGGGGGTTGATCATAGGAAAACTTGGTGGAGGACCCTAGTACTTAAAAAGTACTTAACACTCAAAATTTGGTGGAGGACCCTAGTACTTAAAAAGTACTTAACACTCAAACTTGGTGGAGGACCCTAGGACTTAAAGTCCTTAACACTCAAACTTGGTGGAGGACCCTAGTACTTAAAAGTACTTAACACTCAAAACTTGGTGGAGGACCCTAGGACTTAAAAGTCCTTAACACTCAAACTTGGTGGAGGACCCTAGTACTTAAAAGTACTTAACACTCAAAACTTGGTGGAGGACCCTAGGACTTATGAGTCCTTAACACTCACAAACCGGTGGAGTATCCAAGGATTATGATCCTAAAACTCATAGATTGTGATATACAAGTAGGGACAAGGAGGAGTCCTATACACTCATAGGTATATGGGTGGGTTGGGGTTTTTGGTCAAGAATATTGACTATTACTATTTTTCTCAAATGAACGGTGATCTACGGGTCGGATATTTTCCAAGTATAAATATATACTAATAAGTATTTCATAACTTGGGGGAAAGACTATTTATTTAAGTATCACCCTATGTTTGGGTCTTATACTTGAAACGCTAGTTATTCTATATTTAGCCTGCTACTCGCTCGGTACTTGTACTGACCCCTTCGGGGGGCCCCACCATTTTCAGGTTGAAGCTAGGGCTTGCTACTTGCACCTTCTCACGGGTGATATCACATCAGGAAGACGTGGTTCGTGCTTCCTTATTTTCTTTCAAACTACCGAACACTTGCTCATGGATATTTGTTCTACTATAAACTATTTTTGGGGCTTGCATGCCCATGTTGTTGGCCGGTTGTGGCTTATGACTTACCGTTGAATATTTCCGCTATTCATTGGTTTAAATGTGATGTTGTTATGTATGTTTACTACTGAGTATGGATGGATTGTTTTCCCGAACGCCTTGTGTAATTAAGTGGGGTTGACTCGCGGGTGACGTCACTTAATTATACGGCGGTTGTACACGCGCTTGGATTGCGGTCTGGGGCGTGACACGTGTATATTTTGAGAAATAGTTTTGATGAGTATATACTATAATTATTTACTGATGATAACTACCCGTATGATATTATATTATATTATATTATATTATATTATATTATATTATATTATATTATATTATATTATATTATATTATATTATATTATATTATATTATATTATATTATATTATATTATATTATATTATATTATATTATATTATATTATATTATATTATATTATATTATATTATATTATATTATATTATATTATATTATATTATATTATATTATATTATATTATATTATATTATATTATATTATATTATATTATATTATATTATATTATATTATATTATATTATATTATATTATATTATATTATATTATATTATATTATATTATATTATATTATATTATATTATATTATATTATATTATATTATATTATATTATATTATATTATATTATATTATATTATTTTTAATAATTAAAGATCAAATTGTTATTTTTTATTTTAAGAAATAATTTATACTCTTAAATATGAGTAACAATTTGATCTTCTTTTCTTTAACAAAAAGATCAAATTGTTATTTAAGAGTGTAAATTATTTCTTAAAATAAAAAATAAAAACTTAAATGGCTATAAAAGAAAAATGATGAGAACCTCTAAATTTAAATGGGACCAGCGTAAATTCCATCGTACAGCCGGCTGTACCGTGCGCACGGTACAACTAGCCTTTTAGATCGCAAATCGCAGGGCTCTGACTTCCATCGCAAATCGCAGGGCGCTGGTCTTCCTCCTCAGATCGTTCTCGATCTTCGCTCTCCGTTTGTTTTTTCTCTGGTGGTCTTCCTCTGCAGATCTTCCTCCCCTGGTCTTCCTCCGCGGATCTTCCTCCGCTGGTCTTCCTTAGCAGATCGTTCTCGTTCTGGCTTCCAACTTTGGCGACATATCAGAGAATTTATGAGCATAACAGAGAATATATGTAATTCTTCAGATGTGAGCATAACAGATGAAATTATGAGCACACTAGACATTTTAAATGAGTTTTTTGAATGCTCATTCCCTAATTTATGTATACCCATTTGATGTTAGTGCAATACTCATTTTAAAATGTCATATTCATGAATGTTTGAAAATGAGTTTTATGTTAAACTCAAATGAGTATCACGCCCAAAAATAATGAACACGCACAAATGAGTTTTTTAATATTTTGATACTCATTTTGTAATTATGTATGCTCATTTTAAAAGATTGCACATGTTAATTCATTAGACACTTATTGAAATTAAATGAAATTGATTATAGACATAATTTAAGACTTTAATAAACGAATAAATAATAAACAGAATGTGATATACGAGGAATGGAGCAAATATCACTAATGCTCACCGTTAGACTCCTAATACTCAAAAGAATAGACTCGGTGCACATCAAAATTGAGTAATTGTCTAATTGACTCAATGCTCATTTTAGAGAATTCGTGAATTTCACAAGTTTTACAGCGAGGGTATGACTGACACGGGCTGTACTATATATAAGCTTCCATGGGAATAGGGTCGCAACATCTTGAGGATCCAAGCTTAATCTAATCTTTGCTGCCAACCGTTATTTCAGTTTATTTAATTGGAACATTGGATTCCAAATCATGTATTGATCCCCTGCAACGACGACGGGCTTAAAGAGTCTCGGATTCCTAATCAGAACTGAAGCCACTCAACCATGGCTTCTAGCGTCTCTCATCGCTACAGCTACAACAATTTTTTGACGCATTCACTTCACCATAGCTCACACAACTTCTCTTCCTCCGTTTTCACTCACCGGAATCTACGAAACCGTAAAGTTTCAGTTCGCTTTATTAGGACTACTGTCAAATCATCTCTGAACAAAGTCCCGGGGGTTAAGCAGGACAAATCAGCTCACGATTCCGAATCTAGACCCGAATCTTCATCGAGTTCGGATTCCGGGGTCAACAATCCGGATCCGGATCCTCCATTACGGCTGTCTCTCTGGAATTCGGCCTCTCCCATATTGTACCATTTTCTACATACTTCATTAATCTTTTACCGGCTTATTTCTGGTTTCGTGTTATGCTATTACTTAAACTTTCTTGTGTACTGTTTCAGAGAGAGATTTAAAGTTGATGGACTAGTTAGGGAGATTTTATCAGTTGCATTGCCTGCTGCACTGGCTCTGGCTTCTGACCCCATTGCTTCGCTTATTGATACTGCATTCGTTGGCCACTTGGGTACTCCCGTTTGCTAAAGATATCGACTTCAAAATATTTTGTTCCACTGATGTAAATATATGCTTTGATTGATGGCATTGTAAGTGAAAATTTGTTGGTTCAAGGTGTCGACTGTCTAGCTATTTTGTTCCAATGATGTAAATGTGTTCTTGATATCTTGAATGAAGCTATGGTAAGTTGATAGAATTTAGGTTTTTTATTGGGTCATCAAGTTGGTCAACTATACTGTGATAAAATATACTTCCTCCGTTCTTCAAAAGTTGCAACAATGAGATTTTTTCACTATTCACATATCTTACTTTGGTTACAATTTTCTAATACGAGTAATATATAATCAAATTATTATGTATGAAATGTTATTAAATTTCTATTAATGTAAATTTCCAAAATATTAACTTTTTTAATCTTTACTAATACATAATTAAATATAATTATGGTCAAAGTTGTGTGTTGAAAGATGTGAAAGTCAAATTGTTGCAACTTTTAAAGAACGGAGGATAGTACGTAGTATAATTTGTTTGGGTTCACCAAAGTGGGTCTTAAAGCACTTGGGTCAAACCAGACTAAGAAATTGTAGCCAATCGATTAGATAGTTAGTATTAAGCTGGTTTAACCCACAGTCATATAAACTTATCTGTTTTTCTTTAATAATCAAATTGATTTCGGACTTAAACATAAGTCAGAATTTAATCATTTTTTTTTGCATTATTACAAGCTATGGACACATAATTTCCATCAATTTTATGCTCTGCAATTTCGTAGGATCGATTGAATTGGCAGCGGTTGGGGTTTCAGCATCAGTGTTCAACCTTGTATCAAAGTTATTCAACATTCCTCTCCTGAATGTTACAACTTCTTTTGTAGCCGAAGAGCAGGCGTTACTGAAAACTGGTAATTCTTTTAACTAAATATATAAATATGTATTTCATATTTGCTGATGCTGTATTCTTACATTTGGAATGACATTGAAATCAACTCCTGTTGCTCGGCTATGTTTGTTTGGGTAGATGGTGGTGCCAGTCAACATGGAAAAATTATTCTTCCTTCAATATCAACTTCCTTAGCACTTGCTGCGGGCCTTGGCCTTGCAGAAGCTATTGCGGTTTCTGTTGGCTCCAGTTTTCTGATGGATACAATGGGTATAACTGCTGTATGTGTTACTTTTTTCTAACATGCTTTCTCAAGTCCTCAATCTTTATTGCCAATACTAAAAAGCTAACAAATTATCTCATGTTTACTGGCACACTTATTAGCGTTTTTAATCAGATAATAATATGTAAATTAAGAGTCGTGTGGTTTTTAATTTCCCTTTTGGTGTGGGATGGGTGTGAGCTTATGGTCCACCAGAACGGAAATATATATGGAGTCATAAGCTTCAAATAAGATGTCCGTCGAATGTCGTAGAGTTTTATTTATGAAGTTTCTTGACTTAGCTCATTCATATTTTGTGACTTGCAATTTTACAGGATTCGCCAATGCGCACACCTGCTGAGCAATTTCTTACCATGAGGGCATTTGGTGCTCCAGCAGTTGTAATAGCACTTGCCACTCAGGGAACCTTCCGTGGGTTCAAGGACACAAAGACTCCTCTATATGCAGTTGGCAAGTATATCTAATCCCTGATTATTTCTGTTGATAAAACGAAGAGACATCTTTAATTTAAGATTTTATTACTGTAATTATGAGTCTTTAGTGTTTCAGGTTGTAATTAATAGCTGTTGTCTTTTCAGTTCATAATCATTTATGTTTAGTATTCAGACAGTCACCTAGGGTACTGAATAGACTCTCTCAAGCTCCTATCTGTATAAATAGCTTATGTACTTCTTGTAAATGATTCATTTTGAAGAAGAAGAATATACAGAAAACTTCATGGTATCAGAGACAGGTTCTCGTACCAGCCTCTTTACTCTTAATCATCTTTCCAACAGTCTACTAGGGTGTCTCTACCCGCCTCTCTGTTTATCCTCGGGTGTGAATCTTTTCACCAACAGTTCTATCATGTCTAAGGAAACTGAATCAACCTCAAGTAACCTCGACCACTCAACCATCGTTTCAGCTGCTACTGCAGCCGCGTTTGCTCTTCGAAACCAGAAATTTGATCTCCCTTCTATCCCGCCATCTTACCGTCTCAATGGCAGGAACTATCTTGGATGGTCAAAGCTGGTTTATACTCTCTTGCGTGGCAAAGATCTTGAAGACTATCTCACTGTCTCTACCCCAGAAGAAGGAGATATTGATGCTGCTATTTGGGAGAAAACTAATGCAAACATACGGGTCTGGTTATGGGACTCTATGGATCCCAACATTAGCAGTACATGTTTATACATGGACTCGGCTAAAGAAATCTGGGATTTCATACAGCAGTCCTACTCCGTTGCTAAAGATGGCGCTTTTGTCTATGACTTATGGCTTCAAACAACGAACCTTAAGCAAGATTCACAATCTGTTACAGATTATGCAACTAACCTCCAACGACGTTGGTCTGAACTTGACCAGTATCAAACAATGAAGTGGTCGAATGCTGCAGATGCAGCTCTTCACAAGAGCTATATAAATCAGCAACGTCTATATTGCTTCTTGTCTGGTTTAAATCCCGAATATGATCAGACTCGGGGTCAAATTCTTGGCATTACTCCTCTGCCTTCCCTATCTTCTGCCATTGCCATTATCAAACATGAAGAGAGTAGACGCAATATAATGATGAATACAAAGCTGATTGACAGTACAGCTCTTGCTGCCAAATCTACTCCTTCAGATGTCAAGGAAACTAAGGGTAGTAAGGGAGGAAGATGGTGCGATCATTGCAAGCGGTCCAACCATAATGTGGATACATGCTGGAAACTATATCCTCATCTACAGAAAGAAAGAAAAGGCCAGGACAGGCGTGGAACTAGTGTTGGACGTGCCAACTCAGTCACTCCCATGATTGTTGAGAGCTCTACTAATCTTTTGCCCATTTCCCAGGAGGAATTACAACAACTTCGTATGATGCTACAGTCTCTTAATAACTCAAATGGTTCTGGTCATAGCTCTTTGGCCCTGCAAGGTAAAACCTCTACTATTTTTTGTCTTAATGCTTCGGAACTGAGTTCACAATCCCAATGGATCTTAGACTTAGGTGCCACATCTCATATGACTGCCATACCCTCTTTACTCTCTAACTATCGTCCATGTTTTACATCCACACACATTACTACTGCTGATGGGACACCTACAGAGGTTGCAGGACTTGGTACGGTTGTTTTTTCCGAAAAATTAAATCTGAAAAACACCCTACATGTCCCAAACCTGGCTATGAACCTTGCTTCTATTTACTAACTCACTGTTGATCTTAATTGTGCTGCCATTTTTTTCCCTTCCCACTGTTTATTACAGGATCTACGCACGGGGAGGACGATTGGAATTGCTAAACAAAGAGATGGCCTGTACTACCTTGATGCACTGTTTGTCTCCAAACCTCCACAAAAAGCTCTTACCTCAATCACAGCCAATACCAACACTATTTGGCTTCACCACAAGCGGCTTGGTCATCCCTCTTTTCATGTCCTAAAAACCATATTTCCTAGTCTTTTTGGTAGTGTTGATGTTTCTACATTTCAATGTGATGTCTGTGAACTTGCTAAACAGTCTCGTGTATCTTTTTCTAGAAGTAATACAATCAGTTGTTCTCCTTTTGATATTATACATAGTGATGTCTGGGGCCCTGCTCCAATTGCTAATATATCTGGTGCCTGGTGGTATGTTACATTTATTGATGATTGTACACGTTTTATGTGGGTTTTTCTGCTAAAAAACAAGAGTGAGGTGAGTTCCATCATTCCCATCTTTTGCAATATGATTCATAATCAGTTCTCCACCACTATAAAACGTTTCCGCACTGATAATGCTCTTGAATACTTCAATCAAACGGTTTCCTCTTATTTTCTCTCAAAAGGCATCGTTCATGAGTCCTCTTGTCCATACACACCACAACAGAATGGCACAGCAGAAAGAAAAAATCGCCATCTCCTTGAAGTCAGTCGGGCTTTATTGTTTCAATCAAATATGCCTAAACACTACTGGGGGGAAGCCACACTCACAGCATGTCATCTCATCAATAAAATTCCCAGTCATGTACTCCAAAATAAGTCACCCCTTGAATCTCTCTGTTGCTTCTTTCCTCAAACCAGAATTTCTTCTGATCTTGATCTAAGGGTGTTTGGGTGTACTGCATTTGTTCATATTCCTCCACCTCATAGGGGAAAATTGGACCCACGATCTATTAAGTGTATCTTTCTAGGTTATTCTCCAACTCAGAAAGGATATAAGTGCTATAATCCTACAACCAGAAAGACATACACCAGTGCAGATGTGACCTTTCACGAAGACACACCTTTTTACACTCCTACTTCTCTCCCTGTTTCCCAAGATACTCCACATCCTTCACCTCTTCCCACATCTCCTCCAGCACATACAATCTCCTACTCTCCTAAGCCTTCATCACCAGACATCCCATTATTACCACCGCCACATGATCATCCATCACCTTCTATAGATGAGTCAACAACCTCATCTACTTCCCAACAGTCTTCAACATTACCTGAACCTCAATCAAATCCATCACCAGAATATCCCATTCCTACACCTACTAAATCCACCACTCATGACCCACCTTCTCCTCTACCAGTGACAAAAGTGTACTCAAGAAAAAATAGGTTCACTCCGTTGTTGACGCATGACCAATCGGCTGACCCAGGTAATGTCTCTTCTTCTCCTCCACCATCTCCGCCAATTACTTTACGCAAGGGTGTACGTCAATGTACCAAAACACCTCTATACCCTCTTGCTAATTTTGTTACCATTGATAATTTCTCTCCTTCACATGCCTTGTTTGTTCAGAGACTTAATGAAATTCCCATACCCAACTCTGTTTCTGAGGCATTAGGAAAGAAAGAATGGAGGGATGCTATGCAAGAGGAAATTAGAGCTCTTGAAAAGAACCATACTTGGGATATTGTGACTAAACCTCCTGGGAGGCATGTTGTTGGTTGCAGGTGGATCTTTACGGTCAAATACAATGCTGATGGATCTCTTGAGCGGTACAAAGCTCGTCTTGTGGCTAAAGGATACACTCAGACGTATGGGATTGACTATCAAGAGACCTTTGCTCCTGTAGCTAAGCTCAATACTGTTCGTATCCTACTGTCATTAGCATCTCACTTTGATTGGCCTTTACTGCAATTTGATATCAAGAATGCTTTTCTCCACGGTGACTTGCATGACGAGATCTACATGCACATTCCCCCAGGCTTCAATAAAACATCAATAAGTGCCTCTACACATGTATGCCGACTTAAAAAAGCCCTTTATGGTCTAAAGCAATCCCCCCGTGCTTGGTTTGACCGATTCACACAGGTTGTTCTTGCTGCCGGGTATAGTCAAAGCCAAGGGGATCATACTCTTTTTTACAAACATTCTCAACCAAATGGAATCACTATTCTTTTAGTATATGTGGATGACATCATTGTGACCGGTAGTGATCCAGTTGAGAAACAACGTCTTGAGGGGCAGCTGAAATCCCAATTCGAGATGAAGTCTCTTGGCCCTCTAAAATACTTTCTTGGAATTGAAGTTGCTCGCTCATCTGAAGGCATCTTTATCAGCCAACAAAAGTACATTACAGATTTGCTAAATGAGACTGGTAAGAGTGCTTGTCGACCCGTTACTGCACCTATGGATCCTAATCATAAGCTTGGACTTGCTACTGATGAACCCAAGGTTGATTCATCAATGTATCAGCGTTTGTGTGGCAAACTTATCTATCTCTCTCATACCAGACCTGACATTGCCTATGCGGTTAGTGTCCTCAGTCAGTTCATGCATGATCCAAGGAAACCGCATCTCGAAGCAGCCTATAGGGTTCTACACTACTTAAAAGGAAGTCCTGGACAAGGAATAGTATTCAGGAAGGGTGGGCAATTATCAGTCCAAGCCTTCACTGATGCAGATTATGGTGGCTCTCTCGTTGACCGCTGGTCAACTACTGGTTTCTGTGTTTTCCTGGCAGGAAATCTTGTGACATGGAGAAGCAAAAAACAGAATGTTGTGGCACGATCATCTGCTGAATCTGAGCTAAGAGCCCTTGCCCATGGCTTGTGTGAACTTCTATGGATCAGAATTATTCTCTCAGATTTACGAATCAGGTGGAAGGGACCAATGGAATTGAGGTGTGATAATAAATCAGCAATCAGCATAGCTCATAATCCAGTCCAACATGATCGGACCAAGCATATTGAGATTGATCGGCACTTCATCAAAGAAAAGGTTGAAGGAGGTCTGATTGAACTAAGCTATACTCCCTCAGAGGATCAAGTTGCAGATGTGTTTACCAAACCTTTGCACAGTCCCAGGTTTCAGAGTCTTATTGTCAAGCTAGGCATGATGGATATCTACAAACCTAGCTTGAGGGGGAGTGTTGATAAAACGAATAGACATCTTTAATTTAAGATTTTATTACTATAATTATGAGTCTTTAGTGTTTCAGGTTGTAATTAATAGCTGTTGTCTTTTCAGTTCATAATCATTTATGTTTAGTATTCAGACAGTCACCTAGGGTACTGAATAGACTCTCTCAGGCTCCTATCTGTATAAATAGCTTATGTACTTCTTGTAAATGATTCATTTTGAAGAAGAAGAATATACAGAAAACTTCAATTTCCATATAAAACATTACAACTCTTGTGGGACCATCTTAGGGATGAAAACCTCAAGGTTATGTTTGCAACACGGAAAATAGTAGAAAAAGGGAAAAAAGTGTGAGGGTTAAGAGTTTTTATGTTTAATGTTTACTCGGAAAGTACGAAGGAAAACCATTTGAGGTATTTGATCGCAATATATTTATAAATTTACATATATTTATATTCAGTCTTTATAAAGTAGTAATATGTAAATATTATATGTTTGAAGAGAACATTTAAATTTTGAGTTGTTGAGTTTGAACCAATTTTTTACTTTCCCCAATTTCTATTTCCTTCCAAAAATTTCCCTTCTTGTTTGATCCCTTTTTTCTCGCCCTAGCATTTTTGGGTATCCAAATATACCCCAAGTAAATGAAAAAGCTGCTGACCCCAAACTCTTTTGGGACTAAGGATTAAATGTTGTTGTAAATGAAAAAGCTCAAGCATTATACTATGTCATTTGGTCACACAAGTCTTTTCGACGATACAGGTACCGGTAACTTGCTGAATGCAATATTGGATCCAATTTTGATATTTTTCTGTGGTTTTGGCATAAGTGGTGCTGCAATTGCTACTGTGATATCTGAGTATGTCTACAATGTGGTAAAAACTGTTCCGTAATTACTTTGGATATACGTTTTACAGATCTTTCAGCAGGTAACCTCCTTTTGCCTTACCTTTTTCCTATGCATTATGTTTATCAGGTACTTGATTGCTTCCATCCTGCTCTTCAAGTTAAATGAACGAGTCAGTCTTATTGTTCCAGATATTGATGGGGGAAGAGTTGTTCGATATTTGAAATCTGGTAACATTTAAGAAATGCAAAGTATGTTATAATAATCTAGATTAGAATAACATGCTTGAATGGCCGTTCCGGATCATACATTGATTTATCGCTAACCTGATGCTACTCAGTTTGTTCAAGATGGGTTATGCTGTTTGAAAAAATGCATACACAAACTGCAAACTCATTCTTATTATTAACACCATAGTCCCAACTATGTTGGGGTCGGTTGTATGAGATTTATATTCAACTACTTTTCTAATATTAATTAACATAAATTCACAAAGAAAGATATATACTTCAGTACCTAAGTACTGACTTAAATCCAAATTGCTGAGTTTAATGACTCTGAATTTTATTGGGACATCCAAAATACTAAAACACATGTATCTACATGGACTATTGTCTCTTTAGAAGCAATGATTTTTATAAGTCGTGCCTTTTTTCTTTCTCTTCTTCCCTCGAACATACATTCTGCCTGATGCTAACCATGCTCATATCACGTGGCAGGTGCTCTACTTACTGCGAGAACATTAGCAGTTTTTGCAACCACTACACTAGCAACATCACTGGCTGCTAGAGAGGGTCCAGTATCTATGGCTGGTCATCAGATTTGTTTCCAAGTTTGGTTGGCATTGTCTATGCTTACTGATGCTTTAGCTCTGGCAGGCCAAGTAAATATATGAGCCTCCTACTTACTAAAGCATTCCCACAATCACCGGAAGTTCCATATGTTAAAAATCCAAACATGATTTTTCACCTTACTCTTATTTTTTCTTTGTAAGGCTTTCCTTGCCAGTGATTATTCTCAAGGTAACTATAGCAGAGCACGTGAAGTGGTCTACAAAGTCTTGCAGGTTGGCAGCTTTCCTAGTCTACTGCCATTTTCCTATCCATTAGAAGAAATAGTTAGCGGTGTGCAACTTTCTAAATATTATTTATTTTGTTAGATTGGTATGGTAACCGGAGTGGGCTTAGGTGTGAGCTTGCTCCTGTGGTTTGGAACATTGTCCAGCTTATTCAGCTCAGACTAGGGCTGGGACTTAGAACCGAAAACCGGGAAAACCGATCCGAACCGAACCGAAATTTCCGGTTCGGTTCGGTTCCTATAATTTTGGACTTCACTTTTTTTCGGTTCGGTTCCTATAGTCTTTCATCGGTTCAGTTCCGGTTCGGTTCCAGTTCGGTTCCGGTTCCTGGCCAGGAACCGAACTTCTCATACACTGCATGAGTAGTCTTCATTTGAGGTGTTTCCGGGTTGAATTTTTCGATGAAATTTTGTGAGGTTGTTTTCTATTAACTAAAGATTATATCCACCAAATTTGAGCTTAAAATGCAATTGGGAAGTTAGTTGAATAAATTATTGAAAAACATTACGCCAAAATATATGAAAAAACGCAATTTTTTCAATATTTTATTTAACTCACTTCCCGATTGAATTTTAAGCTGCATTTTGGTATATGTAATCTACATTTCATGTAGAACATGCTCACAAAACTTTATCAAAAAAATCTTCACGGAAGTACCTCAAATGAAGGCGGTCAGACAGCCTTTCGGGCAAAAAGTTCTTGTCAAAAATATTATTCTTGCATAATATACCTTATATATTGTGGACCACGCCAATCCGAGTAGTTATCATTTTAATACTTTAGTCCATTTATATATATATTTTTTGTTTGTAATTGAATTTGTTATTGGAGTTCACTACAAAAAAGAATTAACATTCTGTTGATTACGTTGTTTATTACTACGTAGTTTTTACTTATTGTGCATTACTAGAAGAAGAATATTATTTTGGGGTTGAACTACCTGCTATTGGATGTGTGCTCTGGGACTATTGAACCTTTTTGCTTGACAGTTGATGCCTATTTTAAATCGAGATTTTTGTTATGTTTAAATTTAATGTTGTACTTGGATATGTCTTTGGATTTTTGAACATTGAGATATCATGCATTTATAATGTAATGGTCTTAATTTCGTGATTTAATATTTGAATTTTTTTATGTAACTGAAGTGTGTTCATTTCAGGAGGATAGTAAATTTTTGTTAGGAACCGAAAAAAGAACCGAACCGAACCGAATTTAACTAGAACCGAACCGAATTTAACAACTACATTTTTAACTAGAACCGAACCGAATTTAACGCCTACGATTTTTATACGGTTCCATCGAATTTTAACAAGAACCGAACCGATCCCAGGCCTAGCTCAGACGATGATGTCTTACAAATCGCCAAATATGGTACTTTGGTAAGGATGAACTTTTTTTAGGACAATATGGGTGGGATTAATAGATAAATGAGTTGTACATTAGTATATACTAATTTGTCATTTTTTATCTTTTATTTTACAAATTTCAAGTTGAGGCGGTATATTCTTAAAATGACAATTAAAGCAGTTCTTTTATTTTTCTGACAAATTGCCTAGTTTGTTGCAGGATCTCAACCAGTGAATGCTATTTCTTTTTTAAGACTATATTACGGGGGGGTTAAAATTAAGAGAATCATATCTGGTTTAAGTTATAGATTGAGTATATACTAATTTATCATTTGTTTTGAAAATTTATAGATGACACAATATATTCTTACAATAAATATTAACACGTTTTTTTTTAAAATTTTGCCTAGTTTGTTGCTGGATCTCAACCAGTGAATGCTATTGCTTTTGTTTTTGATGGACTATATTACGGGGTCTCTGACTTCGAATTTGCTGCTTACTCAACGGTATAGCATTGCTCTTTATTCTAACTGGCATTTGTTGCTCTTGTTTGTTATCTAATACTATTCTTTACTTGTGGTGACCAGTTAGTGATTGGATTGATCTCCTCCTCTTTCTTATTGGTGGCTGTTCCTTTCTTTGGTCTTGCTGGAGTTTGGGCAGGGTTGTTTCTCCTCATGGCTTTGCGTGTGGTAGCAGGATGCCTAAGGTCCACTGATTCTCTTTTTAACTGTCTCAAGAACCATGATTTCTATTTCAAATACTTCCTTATTCATTTTTTCTCAAAATATGACATTCCATTCTATTGCCTTATTGCTTACTTAAGTTCTTTAAATCAGCTGATTCTGGTAAACTAATAGTATGTTACATGATCTCTTGTGAAAAAAACTTAATACGGACCACTTTTAAATGTTTAGTCTGGTCTGATCTGAGTTTTCTGATTTGGTCTAATCCGTTTTAGTCGGAATGTTTCTGGTTTTTTTTCTAACTACAAAGAGAATTAGTAATACCTAGTAAAAAAACAAGAGTAGTGAATACAACACCACCTAAGGCTTGGCCTTCACTTTTGTGACAACAGACCATGTAAATTTACTCTCTTCGAGTTTGTTTGTACTTCGTATTAAATACAGGGTGTCCTAACCATAAGCTTTAGAGCCATGTTTAAGCTTAACGAGAGAATATTATTTTTTTGTAATTTTCATAAGTTAACTAGATTATCAAAGAATATTCTTCATCTTTACTATAACAGCTATTAATTCTTCAAAACACCTCAATCATTATTTAAAAAGTGAATACTTCTTGAATTCTTTGTAGAATATTCTATCAGTCATTAATTTTAGCATAGCCTTATATGCCTAAGGGCAAGGATTGGATTTACCTTAAATAAATTAATATTCGTACTTCTGATCAGTGTTCATCATTTATACAGACTAGGAACAAGAACTGGACCCTGGAAATTGCTATGGCCTGAAATCCAGAAGGACACTGCTGATGTAGCGGATGGGTTGTCAGTGCAAAAAAAACCCAGAACATGAATAGTCCTTGGTATATATATGTATGCACACATATGTAAGTACGTATATATGTCCTAATAAGTAATAATATGACTTGGTTTGCAATTTTGGATTCCTTAATGAAAACTGTGTCTCAGAAAATTCATCCATCAGCATCTCATTAATGCAGATAGAAAATGCAAAGATCTCAGGTATAACCTACGCGCTACAAACCTAACCAGCATTGGGTCGAGCTAAAATTGAACCTGCTAATTTTACATGTCTTTTTAGATATTAGTGATGCCTGTGTAGAGAATTGAAAATAAAAGCATTTCCACAAAGAAAGCTTCCAACTTGTTTATCCAGTAGCTGTGTGATATAATAATGTTCATGTTAGTGATGCACAAAGTCTTCATGACTACGGGCTAAGATGTGATAGAGAGGGAATGTTTTTCTGTGATAAATCAGGTAATTTATCATGCCCCCAAACCCCCAGCAATTTTTCTTCTGGGCTCGATATGATTGTATTTAGTTTTACTTTGTAATAAAGCAAGCAAAATGAATGTTGCGACAACACATCAAAACATAAGTAATCAACAATGTCTTTATCTACTTTTCCCCCCTCTTAACTAGCACACAATAATCTCAAGAAATCATTGTAGAGTAGTGTATTGGATCTAATCTACCTACTGCGCTCCAGCAAATAAAGTCAGTCTCCATCCTGTTTCGCTTTTGAATCATCATCTCTATCAAACAGCTCAAGGTTTGGAGCCATGCTAAAACTCTCTTGCAACAGGTTCCTAAAAAAATCATTCTCATCATGATTCTCCATGAAGAATAAGGTTTCTGTTAAGTTTATGTGTTCATCTGTAGAATGACTGTCTTCTTCCAGCAAAAGGCTCTGCAAATAGTCAAGTTGGGTTTGCAACTCCGGTTTCGGCTCAGCTGAATCTCTATTCTCATATTGGCTAACCCAGGAGTGGTCTGAACAGTTCAAATCCAGCATTTTTTCATCTTCAAACTCTTTTATAGAATCTATCATTTGGGGAACAAAAAACCTTGATTCATTGTCTTCAATCGTGCAAATTGAGGAAGAACCAGAATCTTGTCTTGTCAAAACATATGACTCCTCTGCACTGAATGGTTCTGACCCCTCATCAACTGAACAAACTGCGGAACCAGAATCATATCTGTCCTGTACTCCTACACCATCTGGGAAGTTGAGTATCGCATCCGGGCCATACATTACCCTGGCAGCCATATCATAAGCAAGAGCACCTTCAATAGCTGTGTCAAAGGTACCTAACCAATAGCGCCGTGCTTTGCCTCCACATTTATCAGCGACACCACAAGAAGACGGCTCCCGGATTTCTGCAACCCACTTTCCCCAAGTCCTCTGCCTGACACCCCTGAACTGGAAATTCGAATTATCTGGTCCACCTCTACCATGAATGCAGTCCATGCTCGGTGATCCCTGAGAAGGAGAAGGAGAAGCAGCAGCAGCCTTCCTCTTCTTCCTAGCCACTACCACACCAGTGGCAGCCTGGTTGGTGTTATTTACAGCTTTCCATCTCATTAACATCTCCTCTACTGGTTCATACCTGCTGCGTCTTTTCCTCATCTTACCTGCAAATTTTCAACTGTAAGATTCTATGGATCTTCTTATTCAGCTATTAGAGGGTGCCCTCTATCTCCTTGAAAGATTCGTTATAGTTGCTGTGGCAAGCCTTGTGGTGAACTCCTCGCCGCTGCGTAAGCTTAGGAAGTTGCTGCAATGTTTTCTGTTATCAAAGATTCAAAGAATTGGCTTTTTATACTAAGTAAATGAATAATAATGGTACTTGGTGATCACGGATGAGGTTGAGTTCCTGGCTGCATATGGAGAAGGCGTATTGGCGTCCCATTTAAGTAATAACTCTAAGAACGAGCTTCGATGGGATATTACTACTTAATATACGGAGTATGGTACAAGAATTGTAAACCTTGGGCGCCAAGGAAACGACTTACCCCCCAGCCCCCCCCCCCCCCCCCCCCCAAAAAAAAAAAAAAAAAAAAATATATATAACATAATGCCCCAAATTTAGAGGATATATTTTAATTTGTACTGCTTCCCTCCAACAACTTAAATTTGTCTTTTTAGTACATCTATAACATCACAATTTTCATAAATGATCTCATTATATTATACTATGTATATCAATCAAAACCACTTCTCAAAATATTCATAGCTTTATTTATATATTGCTTAAATAGTCGTGTAAATTTTCAATTAGAAGCTTAAGGTGTGATGAATGTGCTATATTAGGACTCTTAATATGCAGAGGTTGAAAAATTCAATTTACCCGTAATATTTATGTATACGAATTTCTAATCAATATTTAAAACGACACGAACAATTCTCATAGACGATAATTTCGATAATTGTTCATCATCTCCAATTTAATTTTTAAAGCGAGTCTCCATCTTACTTTCCGGATCTTAGAAGAATTGAATGAGGGTTTTTACTTGGATATTACTAATTTTGAACCAATTACCCAAAAAGTGACAACTTTTAAAAAGGAGCAAAAAAGTGATCAAGAAGGTCATATATGTGCAATTACAAAACATGACGTAACTACAAAAATTTTATGTCATTGTGTTGGGTTTTTTTTGTAACTACAGCCACCACCCATGTCACTGCAACCACCACCAGTGTCACTGCAACCACCGTCCTTTCACTGTAGACATTGCCCATGTCACTTTAGTCATCGTCCATGTCACTTTAGCCACAACTCATATCACTTTAGCCACCGCTCATGTCACTTTAGCCACCGCACATGTCACTTTAACCACAACTCGTGTCACTATAGTCCCCTCCCCTACACCCCCTGCCCCCTCCCCTCCACCGCCGACACCATGGTTGATCCGTCCCACATACACACCCGGAAAACACCACCTTTGACAGTTGCCACCCTAATTCTAACCACACCGGGACCGGACCCTATCCAGCCCACCTCCCTGCCCCCACTGCCTCCTCCCCAGCAAAGCAGCCCCCTCCCAGCCCCCTCCCAGCCCCTCCCCTGCCAACCAGCCCCCTCCCCAACCCCTTCCCAGCCAACCAGCTCCTCCCCTGCCAACCAGCCCCCTCCCCAACCCCTGCCCAGCCAACCAGTGCCCCTCTCAGACCCTCCCCTGCCAACCAGCCCCCTCCCAGCCCCTCCCCTCCACCGCCGACACCATCATTCATCCGTCCCACATACACACCCGGAAAACATCACCTTTGATAGCTGCTGCCCTAATTGTAACCACACCGGGACCGGACACTCCCCAGCCCACCTCCCTGCCCCCAACGCCTCCTCCCCAGCAAACCAGCCCCCCTCCCAGCCCCTTCCCTGCCAACCAGCCCCCTCCTCAACCCTTTCCCAGCCAACCAGCCACTCCCCTGCCAACCAGCCCCCCTCCCAGCCCCTCCCCTGCCAACCAGCCCCCTCCCCAACCCCTTCCCGGCCAACCAGCCCCCCTCTCAGCCCCTCCCCTGCCAACCAGCCCCCCTCTCAGCCCCTCCCCTGCCAACCAGCCCCCCTCCCAGCCCCTCCCCTGCCAACCAGCCCCCAACCGCCATCCCACAACCTCCGCTAGTAACCTAGCCACAACCTGCCACAAACTCCGCCAATTTAGATTTCGAACGTCCCGTCCTAGACCTGAAATTTTAACTGATACAAATGGAGATAAAGCCCCCAAAATCGAAGAGATTGAAAAGAAATAGAAGCAGCAGGGGCCATGGCGATGACGACGATGACTGCGGCGTTCAAGGACGGTGGAAACCAGATGCGACGGACTAGAGAGGGTGGCGATTCGGACTGACAATCTGGAGGTGGAGCTGTCATCTTCGCCGGATCTTTGTCGAAGGATGTTGTTTGGAGCCGTGGAGATACCCGATCTGGAGGGGGAGCTATCATAACCGGATTTTGAGAGAGAGGTTTGGGCGACGAGGATACGGATGGAGACGATGATGGATGAGCTATGGCGCAGGGGAGACAGATGGCGTAGATCTGGATCGGGAAAGAAGATGTGGTCACTTTTTTGTAAAGTCTAAAAGAAGTCATATTTTTGTCTAACGTAATTGTCTTAAATAGGACTAAAACATGATCTAAACTCTAAACTCTAAGTTTATTATTTCTTAAATAGGACTTCGGATTACATTTTTACCCCTTCCCTATAATTAAACCCCAAAAGTCTCCCCTTCTCTCACGCGTATACATATTGTCGATCGCAACTACTCCGCCACAATTCTTCCGTCTGCCATGGACCTGAGCTCTACCATCGATCATAGCTAGCTCTCAAAGTCATCGATGCAGGTAATCTTTTTTTTATTTCTTTTTTCTTCTATATCTTTCTAGTCCCTGTTTTCTTCTTGGTCCTCTGCACATTCTTTCTCTGCATCTTCTTTTTCTTTGGATTGTTTTGATTTGTTATTTGTTTTTTCTGCTTTTCAAATTAAATAAAAAACATTTCAGATATGAAAACATGTACATGAAAAGAGAGATTTCAATGAGCGATCAATGATTGAAAATATTTGGATTTGAAATGTTTTATTTATTCATTAATTAATTTTGACTAAATTTGGACTTTGAGAATGCCACTAAGATGACATTTTGATCTACTAGTAATTAGAAAAAATGTCACTTTAATGACATTATATCTATCAAGATGTCTATATTACTCTGGGACTACAAAATTTTGAATGAAATGTTTTTGTCTAGTTTGACAAACATATGTCATTTCTATGTCACTAAGATGACATTTTAAGTGGTTTGCAAGAAAATGTCATCTTAATAAGAGTAATGACATAATTTAAAATGACATTTTCATTGAAAACGTGACATTTTCCGCTGTAAAACTATAGATTTAGATAAGACATAGATTTTCCGCTGAAAACAATAATGCCATAAAAGTGACATTTTTTTAAATATTCAATAATTATGACATTTAGAGATTTTGAAAGTGGCATTTTTCTTGTAATCACTTATGGGGCATTCTCAAAATCGAAATTAATAATAAATAAATATTCAAATTGAGGTATTGCCAATCAATTGTTCTTTTTTGAAGACTAGTCCATCTAAAATTCTCAAGTTCAAATTTTGATTTAACAGAAAATAAAGAAACGGAGAGCAAGTAGAGGACAAGAAGAGGATGAAATTTCAAATCCAAATTTTGATTTGATAAAAATTAAAGAAACAGAGAGCAAGCAGATGACAAGAAGAGGATGAGAGGAGAAGAGGAAGACGGAGAAGAAGGAGGAGAAGTGGAGAAGAAGTAACTTACTTGGCTTCACCTGAGAAATCGCAGAGCAGCGGCGACGGCTACCGCTGATGGCAGAGGTGGAGCAGTCCATCTGTTCATGGTGGAGGGGCAGTGGCGGTGCGGCGACTGTCCAGCTACTATCGATGAAGAGGGAGAGACGATAGATGTGTGTGGTCGATGCAGGGCTTTTGGGTTTAATAATAGGAAGGACAAAAATGTAATCTGAAGTCCTATTTTAGAGAATAAAACATAGTAGTCCTACTTTTGTAATTTTACATTGTTTTAGTCTTATATAGGCGTAGATCTGGATCGGGAAAGAAGATGTGGTCACTTTTTTGTAAAGTCTAAAAGAAGTCATATTTTTGTCTATTAAAACCTTATAGGTTATATTTGGGCCATTCTTTCAATTGAATGTGATGAAGTAGATAAAATGAAAGATGACACAAAGTAATGTGAATGATGAAGATGAAATGTAGTGAAGATGGAAAGTGATGAACATGGTTTGAAATATATTTAAAAGAACATGACTTTTAAGTGATGAACATGGTTTGAAATATATTCAAAAGAACATGACTTTATTTAATTTTACTATATTTTTTCTTCATTTTATGCATAAAATATTTGAAATATTATCTTTCAGAATTCATCAGATTTTGCTAATTTAGGCGCATCAACTAGGTTTTTACAAATTTGAACATATTTAGTTCTATCGGTGTCACCAAAAAGACTATCATTTTGTGTACAAATCTGTTTTTCAATTCGAATAGTTTTTGAATACAAGTACAAAATCTATTTTTCAATTCGAATAGTTTTTTAATACAAGTACAGAAACTATTATATTCGATTCAAACAATATTCGAATTCTATAGAAATATGAATATACACATAGGGGCGAGGAGGATCAGGTACAAACATTTGTAAACTCTTTCTCTTGCATATTATGATTCAAAGTGTCGCATATTATTGTTATGAAATATGGGTTGCATATTAATATTCAAAAAGTTACATCCAATTTTTTTTTTTATTACAAAAATATCTTGTGCCTATGTTACCTTTATTATTTAAACCATAAATGAAGCAAATATGAGTGGAATATAAAATTAAATGCAATATATTGACAAATGAATGAGACTACAAATACTCCGTATTCAGTCACACAAACGAATTCAAATAAGGTTGTTTTCGGATGGAATTGGTGAAAAACAGCCAGATCTACTGTTAACTGTTTCTCGAATGAATGAGCGCGGGGAAGCCAGAACTATACGCCGGCGGGTCGGATCCGCAGCCCGGACAGAGCAATCACCATGCACCCTCTTTCCAAGAAGCTGAAACAACCATCTTCACATTTCTCATTCATCTCTCCTTCTTCCCTATTTCTTTTCCTACTCTGCGTTGCCGCTCTCTTTTTTAGCTTTTTGCTGTTAAAGTCCTCTCCGTCCTCACCTCCAAATGACAATCGCACTAACCGGGAACCGTTGTTCTCACTTACTTGCAATGTTTCGCATGGCCGGTGGATCTATGACCCGACAGTCAAGTCTCCTCGCTATGATGATACCTGCAAGGAGATATACAAGGGATGGAACTGCATTGGGAGGAACAAAAACAATGCGCTCGATATCTTTAAGTGGCGGTGGAAACCCTACGAGTGCAATCTCCCTCAGTTCAATGCTCTCCAATTCCTCGACCGTTTCAGAAACACCAATATTGGTACTTTTCTCTGTTCCGACCTTCAAATGCATGCCTTATTTTGATGCAAATTGTGGTTTTAGCTATTGATTTTGTACAGTTGTTTTTACTCTAGTGATTTAAGAGGGAAAGGAGGCTTCGTTTTTTGTACTTGCTCAGTTTTGGATTTCTCTTGTAAGAGGTTCTGATTTAATTGATAACTGATGCATTGATAAGAAACATTCTATTACGGTGTATAATACTCCATATATGTTTAATAGGAATTTCGGAGAAAGAAACTACTAGGTATTCCACTCTTTCATTATCTTGTACATGAGAATTATTCACTAGGAATACTTGTATGACCTGATAAGCTCTGTTAGTATTATACTAATTTGGTCCCAAAGTACTTAGTCAAATTCAAAACTTTGACCAATTATATATATTTATTGGAAATTATTTATAATATAAAAATGATATGAAAATGTTCTTTTTTAAAAGTACTTTCATAAAGGTATAAAATTTATAACTTTCATAATATTATACTAATCAAAACCATGATCCAATTTTAAGATTTGGCTAAGTATTTTGGGACGGGGTAGTATTGTTAACAAAGACTATCACTTTTTGAGTCAATTGTGGGCAGTAAAACCACTTTGTGGGGGCATGGTATGGGTAGAGGCTTTGCGCATATTAAACTGTGATTCTTTATGGGAAACATATTACCTGTTTTTATTTTTTTAGTTTCTCAGCTCAATGTATTGAATTGAAAATGCATGTGTAAGTTTTGACAAAGTTTTGACTTTTATTTAATCTGCATATGATTTATGCATTACTCTGCTCTGGCAGTGTATTAATTAGTACTTTCAAAAGTTAAGCTACACTTGTGGCTGTGCTATGCCA